TAATGGGGTTAGAAATGGGAGTTAGGGGCTTGCACAAGCAGCAGCAACTTGTCTCTGCACACACGAGTCTGGAGGTGGGCTGGGCCGGCGGGGCTAGCAGGGCTCAGCAAGGCCTGCTGGCCCCCGCCTCCACGCCACGGGAGTAGGGATTAAAATCAAGGTTTAGTTCAGTTTATTTTTCCCTTTTTTAGTTATCAAGACAAAAATAAAACAAAGTGAAGCCAGGGCTGTTCCTAGAAGACAAACCGACGAGGGCAGCAGACAGACAGGGGGATGGGTGCTTCACATTACATCCACAAAGAACTCACTGGGATTGCCCATGGCCATTCGGAACGACTGTCTACTGGCCGTCAGTTCAGGGGGCACAGAGGCCAGGTCACGGCCCGGCGGGGCTCCTGGGGGCCCCATGGCAGAAGGCGGCGGAGGCATCAGCAGCATGGGCGGGCTGTAGAGGGGTGGCAGGCCAGGCGGCCCATACGACTGCTGGCTGTGGTGGCTGCGGATGCTGTGAGCTAGGGAGTGCTGGCTGCGCTGGCTGGCTGGCACCGAGCGCTCACTGGCCGCCCGCTCCCGCCGCATACTGCTCCGGGTGGTGTGGTCCGACTCACTGCCACTGCCGCCCGACTTGGACTCGCCAGCCTTCGGGTCTCTCTCCTTTCTCCTCTCACTGCCGCTGCGGTTTGAACCGCTGCTGCGACTCCCTGCAAGAAGCCCAAGGCAAGGTTAGGGAATGACCCCGACAACGGTCCCCCAACATGCAACCCCAGCCGGCACAGCAGGGGAAGGGAGAGACTGGAATAAAAGGAGCCTCCCCTAAGCCAAGGCCACAACACATGTCCTTGGGAAAAACTGCGGAGAGGAACCAGCCAGACCCCAGCCAGGAAGGGCAGAAGCAGCCAAAGCCATGCCCCCTCTCCCTTCCCTTTTCTTTCCATGTAGCTGATGCCCTCTGACCTAGCCCTCCCCACCAAATAAAAACTAAACATTTAAAGAAACACAGAAGTAACATGCCATTTGCTGCCATCACATTGTTCACTCTGCTTGTGAGTTCTACCCCTTCCTCCACCCCGTGTCTGTCTGGTCTATTCAGATTGTTAAGATCTTCAGGGCCAGGACTCTCTGCTACTCTGTATTTGGACAGGCCTAGCCCCGGTCTTGGGTGGTCCTCAGGCACTACCATAATAAACCAGCCCCAGGACAGGGCAACACTGCAGCAAAGCTGGCCTCCTTTCAAACTCTGCCCTCTAGTCCACCAGAGGCTCTGTGACAGGAAGCATCATACTCTGGTTCCATCATGCCCAGAATCTAGCCTGTGGCCCTGGCCCATACTTGATGCTTCAAAGCAGCTCTGCAATGCACCTGCCCAACTGTGCTTTGTGCACGTGAATGGGGGGCCGGAGAGGAGGAGAGACATATTCCTCGTTCCAGGAGATGACCCAGATCTTGGCTTGCTCTCCAAAGGTGTTAAGGAAAATACCCCAATGGCACATTTCAGTTCCTTTCATTCACTTACCTTCACTGTGCTGGCTGCCTGCACTGCCCCCACCATAGCTGTAGCCTGGGTCAGGGAATCCTGGGTGGGGGTTGTATGGATGAGGTGGTGGGTATTGATATGGGAAAGCCATGGGCCACGGTGCGGCTCCTGGGTGGGGGAGTGGAGCCAACGTATCCTGATCTGAGGCTCCGCTGGATCCGTCATGGTCATGCAGGGACAGGTTAGCCATGTCTGGAGAGAAGCAAATAGAGAACCTGGGTTAGTCCTGAAATGAAAACAGCCATGTACAGTGGGACAACCTCACCCTCATCCCAGCTGACAGGTAATCATGGGGTACCCGCAAGAGGGGCAGAAGATTTCAGGGGGCAGCTATGGACACCTCCTTGCCAGAGACCAGCCCAGGCTATGTTGGGGGTTACTGTTCCCCACTTGGTCAGAGAGAGAATCAATGATCTGCTAGATCAGAGATGGGCAAACTACGGCCCGGGGGCCACATCTGGCCCTCCAGATGTTTTAATCTGGCCCTCGAGCTCCCGCCGGGAAGTGGGGTCTGGGGCTTGCCCCACTCCAGCCGGGGAGCGAGGTTGGGGTCTTGCCCCACTCTGCATGGCTCCCAGAAGCAACAGCACATCCTCCTTTGGGCTCCTACAAGTAGAGGCAGCCAGGGGGCTCTGCACGCTGCCCCCACCCCAAGTGCCACCCCTGCAGCTTCCATTGGCCGGGAACCGCAGCCAATGGGAGCTGCAGGGGTGGCACCTGTGGACGGGGGGGATATGCCACTGTTTCTGGGAGCTGCTTCAGGTAAGCACCACCCGGAGCCTGCCACCCTGACCCACTCACATGCCCCAACCCTGATCCCCCTCCCACCCTCTGAACCCCTCAGTCCTAGCCCAGAGCACCCTCCTGCACCCCCAACTCCTCATCCCCAACCTCATCCCAGAGCCTGCACCCCTAGCCGGAGCCCTCCCTCCGTCCTGCCCTCCCGCACCCCAACTCCCAATTCCGTGAGCATTCATGGCCTGCCATACAATTTCCATACCCAAATGTGGCCCTCGGGCCAAAAAGTTTGCCAACCCCTGTGCTAGTCAGTCATAAACCAGCTCAGAAGAGAAAGGACAACATCAGAGCTGGCCAGACACCCTTAGGTCTGTCTGTCTGTCTCCCTTCCCTTCTCATCCCTCTCAGGTGAGCAGAGCCAGCCAGGTGTCAGCTCCCTGCCCATTCCTCCAAGGACAGTGCAGACTCTGATAGCACTGAGCGAAGCCAGTCCCACCCACCCAGGAGTTTAGGTTTAGCCCAGGATCAAAAAAAGGTGACGTTTTACTCCTCCCTGTCCTGCCCGGGAGAAAGGATTGTGCAGCAGAAGATGGTGACATTGGCTGCACAGTAATATACCAAGAACTGGAGAGTAGTATGGAAGGGGTTCAGGCTGGCAGTCTAGAGGTGGCAAACCACTGCAAGACTGTCCTCAGAGAGTTGTCAGGGCAAAGCAGAGCGTCTCCTTTCAGCATCCTCACCACCCCCCGCTTCCCCAGCAGCACTAGAGCAGGGGTCCGTACTGCCGCAGAGGTCTCCAAAGATGTAGTAGCACTGCTCTGAGAAGGTGATCTTGTTCACAGTGTGTCGGATGTAGCCGGCCTTCAGCAGGTTGCTGGCGTACTTGCGGGATTCTCGCCGATCTGTAAAACCTTCCACATGGTGATAGAGCCAATCCACCACGTCTGAACCTGCCATGAGATTAACCAAAGAGCACGGTTAAACACAGCAAGGACAGGAAGGGCTGGCTCTGGGGGCAGATAAGGGTGGCCTGAATTTGTTCCAGGGGTGAGGGATGGGAGTGGTCCATGGGTGAGAGAGGTGCAGGGACACTCCTAGGGGCAGCACAAGGCCAAGGATTCTATTTGTTTCCCCAGCACAACCAACAGGACGAGCCAATGGGACATAATGGTGAAGGATGCTCCCTTGGCAAAAGTCCCTAAACAGGATCCCCTCACATAGGGAAGGTGCCTGCCTACCCATGTGTCTACCCCTCCCCCAGTCCCAGAGGAGGAAGTGGCTGCCTCTTACCGATGAAGGCATTGGGGATGGTGATCTTCAGCCACATGCGGTCGCGCACCTCCAGACCTGACTCAGGGGAGGCCATGGCTTTGACGATGGTGGCCATGTCGCTGTGGATGGACAGGTGAAAGTCATCGAGGCCTGCGAGGCGGACGAAGGGAAGGGAGGCAGAGATGAGAGGGGACGGAAGAGGCCACGGAGCCACATGGAGGTGTCACACACAAGGGGATGGGCCAGGGAACAATACATCGCAGGCATACCCCAGAACACTGAGGAACTGGCCAACACACTGCAGCACCCACTGGTCTAGATCTTTTCAGCTTTCTTCCCTCGCAAAACCAAACCAAAAACCTGCCTCCGGCCAGCAGCAGCTACTGCTAAGTTTGCAAGGCTCTAAAAGCTGCTTCGTGCCGGATGCTGGTTTAGCTGGGAAATTAAACTGGCACCTTCCAGCTTCGCCTGAAAGGCCAGTCTCACGAGCTCAGGAAAGAACCAGTGCTGTGCCTCGGCTCTGTCCTCACAGCACCAGTTACTGGTTACAGTAACAGTTACAGTTACTGGTGGCACCAACAACCTTCAGCAACCCCCCAAAATACAACTAAACAATCCCCCTAACGGAGCGGCTTCTTTGCCGGGGCCTCTCTGCTCCTGGCATCTCTCCTATAGTCCTCCTGGAGACCATCTGGCTCCAGAGCCTACCACAGGAGCCAGCCTGCGTCCTAGAGCTCTCCTCACTCAACTCAGCTCTTTCAGCCTTTATAGGAATCAGGTGCCCATCGGGCAATCACCTTAACCTTTGCAAACTACCCAGAACAGGATGGGGCCTAATGGGGCTCCACCTCAGAACAGGGCTGGCCGGTTCAAGGCCCCCAGCCCTTACAGGGCAGATCTCCCTGTTGCAGCTACCTTTGAATTACCTGCCCATAGCTGAAAGGCCCAGCCCCAAGCTCTCTCCCTCCCAGCCACCACAGGCCTCTGATCAGACCACTAATTCAAGCAGAGGTGCAGCCTCAGGCATGCCCAGCAGGGCATTTCTTCCTGGCCCCGCTCACTTTTCCCAAGGCATTCCTTGCATGGCTGACATCCCCTCCTCTCCCACAGCATAGTCTCCTCCTGCCTCCTCCTTTCTGACTATCTGAATAGTTACCCACTGGAACAAGCTGCCAAGGGAGGTTTTGGAATCCCCGTCACTGGAGATTTTTAAGACCAGGCTGGACAACCACCCATCAGGGATGATCTAGGTTTACTTGGTCCTGCCTCAGCATGGGGGGGAATGGCCCCTCAAGGTTCCTTCCAACCCTGTGTTTCTATGTCACTCAGCCTGTGCCCAGCTTCTCTTGTTGTCCTTGTCTGGAGAGAAGGAAAACGGACGTGAATTTGCCCAACCAAAACTTGTACTTGTCCTGGGCTTTTGGGCAAGAGGACTTTTCTTAGCCTTCCCCAGCACCACCCAGGTGCCTGCCTGCAGAATTCTTCCCACCCCAGCCATACTCTCTTGGCCCTTGCCTGGAGGGAGCTCCTGTTCCTCCAGTCCCTACTCCTGCTGGTAGGGAGTTCCCCTTGGTTCCTGGACCCCCCTTCCCTAACCCTACCCCAGACCTCTGGTTTCTGCCCGTGCAGATGTATTGCTCCCGTCAGGCTGGGGTGCCGGCAGGCACAGCGCAGGTGACTGGAAGCCGTGCAGTGGCGGGAGCACACAGGCACAGGGACTTACGCTCGGTCTCTGGGATGGAGCTGGTGATGGAGGAGCTGGTGGAAGTGATTGTGCTCATGGATGGGCTCATACCGTACGCCGGGTAGGTGCCAGTCATCGCTGCCGTGTGGGAAACCCAGGCTGCCGGGTCGATGGGTCGGATGGGCTCACCTAGAGCGAATGCAGAGACAGACAATCAGAGGCTATCTGAGACTCATTCCCTCATGAAACCCACCTCTAGGGGGTGCCCTGGGCAGCCCCTTCCTTCCCCAGCATCAGCCGGGACTCACCCGGATCGGAGCATGGAGAGTCTGGCCCAGCCCAGATCCGCTGGGGAGCAACTGGGAGAGAAAGAAGAGAGGGAGGGTCAGCAAGAGGGGCACAGAGGGAGAGAGTCCCCCTATGGCTCAGTGGCAGCAATCTTGGGGGTGTTTCTCCTTCCTCTGGAGCTCCGAGCAGGTGACCTCCCCGCCCTGGTTAGGTGGGTATGTCCCAGGCATGATGTGGGGGAGGAGGGTGGGCACTGGGGGACACAAGGAGAGGGAGACTGCAGTGCTCAAAGGTCTGCACTGTACCGGGGCCTTGAGGCCACCACGGAGGGAGCCGGGTGCAACCCCCAACGACCCCACATTCAGTCTCAGTCTCACAGCAAACAGACAGGAAATAAAGCAAACACGCAGGTGCTCGCGGCAAGGTTCTCACATGGGCTGGGCACCAGCGTTAAGGGCGAGTCAGCAATCCACTTACTCCGGGGTAACGAGAAGCAGCCCCTGGGGCTGGGGTCCCAGCACTTGGCCACAGTCAGGGTGATTGGCCTGCAGCAGAAACACAAACGTTTTTGCAACCTGCGCACAGGCCAGCATGCAACACAACCAGGCTGCTCTCATCAAGGTGCTGGCCCTCAGTGGCCATGATCTGCTCCCTCAGAGGAAGGTTGGGTACAGGCCTGCCTGGGCTGCCAGCACAGATCCCTCACCCCCACCCAGCTGGCAGAGCCGGTAACAAGGAGGGCAGCGGGAACTGAAGGGGCATTCAGCAAACCCAGCCTAGGTAAAAGGAGGCTCGGGGCAGGGGACCAGTGCTGGGACACTTGGTTCATGGCCTGACCATGGAGACATTCCCAGTTCCAATTCTTGCTTTGGGCTCTTTCAAGGTTATTCATATAACACCCAGGAGTCAGAGCAATACCACTAAGGAGAGGGTGTTTGAGGGCTCTGGGCCCTCAAACACCCACAGGCCCAGCATAAGAGGGGTGGGGGTCTGGCTGCTGAGGACAGCAGGAGTTGCTGTTCTCAGACACAAGGGCTGGCTGCATTACCAGTGTCCGATGAGCCAGAGCAAAGGGGACTGTAGCCTAGTAGGAGATGCAGGCCCCAGACAGGAGAGCTGGTGGGGAAAGCACCTACCCTGGCTTGTGCACGATCTCCCTCAGCACGCGCACAGCATCATCGTTGCTCATGTTCTCAAAGTTGATATCGTTCACCTGCAAACAAGGCAAAGAGAGGCTGAATCCCAGAGACACGGCTGTAGGCTGGGCTCCTTCTGAGAGCAGCTTCTGCAACTTGGCCTGTCAGTCTGTGAGCAGGGGCTCCAGTCTGCCCCTCACCCCTCACTGTCACTGCCCCAGCCCCGGCTGCAATGCGTGCGGTACCTGCAAGAGCATGTCTCCCGGCTCGATCCTGCCATCGGCCGCTACTGCGCCCCCCTTCATGATGGAGCCGATATAGATGCCACCGTCCCCACGCTCGTTGCTCTGTCCCACGATGGAGATGCCCAAGAAGTTGTACTTCTCTGCAGGGATGGGCGGAGAACGAGCACAGTGAGAGCAGGACGGGACAGCAAAGCCTCACTGCATTGGCCCTAGAGCCCCACACCTGGGCAATCCCCTCCACTAGTCCCAGCCACACAACCATCCTCTCCCACCCCCTCAAGTGGCTTCCTGGCTCCTTCCTCCCTTCCCAACTCCACCCAGCTCAGCCCTGATCTCCTCAGCCTCCCAACGCTCTGAGAACTGGACCATGGGGATGACAGCAGAGTTAACCCCTACCCTGCCGTGCTCCTGCCTTGCACCCTCTTGCACCTGGCCGTGTGTGCCAAGCACTGGAAGGACACTGCCTACCTTGAGACAGACACATTTTGGGCTTCACATTAGAGTTTTCTATTCTCCCCTTGCCCTCTCCATGTGCATCTTGGCCTCTCAGGATCCCAGACAGAAAGCAGTTGGAAAGCAACAGTGGGGTAACATGGGACACAGAGGGAGCTGAGCTCAAGTTGGAGAGAAAAGAAACTCATCCTGGACCAAATCCCAGGACCCAAAACCACTCTCCCCACCACCCCAATCCCAACCACATTCTTGCAAACTGGCAAATCTTTAAGGGGATTAATGCTTCAGGACCAGTCAGTTTCTCCAGGGGACCCTCTCCCTTCATTACCTCCCCCCTCCTCCCCCGCTGCACCTCCTGATCTCACTCCTGGAGCTTGGGAGAGCCTTGGGCCCAAACAGAAAGAGTCTCTCACTCACCCATGTTTAGAGTGACTGTGATGATGTTCAGAGACATAGTTGAGTCCGTGATGCTGCTGAAGGACGACGACTGCAACACAATGAGGCACGATGAGACGTCCCCCTGCTCCCTGGCCCAAGCACAGTCCCTGCCAGTTCTCACTGCTCTCCGCTGCCCCTCGTATACTGTTCCTATGCTCCCCACTGTCCCTTCTATTCCCTGTAGTGCCGTCCCCATGCTCCCACCTCTGACCCCACCCCAGTCAATGCAGGAAGCTCCACAAACGGACTGGGGGCTGCACCCCACACACTCCCACTGTGACTGGGACAAGAAAGGCCTTTGGTCCTAGCAGCAGCACTGACCCAGAAAGGTTTGTGGTACTTTCACCAGCAGATTCTCAGCACCTGGGCCCTGTTTGTAGTGACTGGAGATTCCACCAGCTGAGTTCCTGGAGGCCAGGGTGAAGCCTAGCCCCCACATGGGAGTGGGGAGGGGTATGCCGCAGGCACCAGAAAGCCCAGCCCCAGCTTTTCAATTGCCTGCCCAAGAGATGTACCCGCTCAATGCGTGGGGCCTTTTGTTTCCGCCGGCGTCGCTTGTGCCTTCTCATCAGGCGCGAGGCGCTGCTCTGTTCTGTTGAGCTGCTAAACCTGCCGGCAAAGGAGACAGTCAGCTCCACTGCCCACGAGGGTCAAGAGAAGATGGGTCTGTCAGCAAGACGGCCACAAAGGAGGAGCAGTGAGAGAGAACGCTGTGGGCCAGGACTAGGGGCAGCAACAAAGCTGTGTGGCGAGCAGAAGACTGTAATAGCAGAGAGGGCTGCTGGTAGGGATTGAGGACCACTAGCTGAGGGAAGAGCCCTGAAGGATGGGGCTGAGGTATCCCGATTTGGCATCTCCTTGGCACTAAGAGTGAAAGAGGTGCCCATGTTCCCCCAGGCCTCACGCTCTCCTACCTGCTGGTGGAGTCATCCTCATCCGAGTCGAAGAAGCTGGTGGTCTCCAATTCGCTGCTCATGAGAGTGGAAGAGCTCTCGTACCCGCCTAGGTCTCGGCGCCGCTCTCCTTTTGCCGTCCCATTCACTCTGGGTGCTGGAGGGAGAGAGAGAAGTCAGCACTCCTGGGAGATGCAGGGAGATACCGCTGGGGCAGAGCTGCATCCTGGTCTCCTGCAGGAGCACCAGGTGGGCTCAGCGCTTCACAGGGGGGGAATCTTGGGGCTCAAAAGGAATTCCAAGGGGAGGAACCTGGCCATCAAACACCCCATCTTGGCATGAGGGGGCGCTGTGCTGCCCTCCATACTTTGACCATTCCCCATCTCTTCAGGGTTACAACTTCCCTGACTCTTTAGATAATGGGGAAGGGGAAGGGGAGCCACTGGGAGCAAGGGTTGAAGCCACAACGATCCCTACAGAGTTGGGAAGGTTACTCAGAGATGGTCCCTCTGGGTGAGAGGTGCCAGGCCGTGGGCAGAGAGTGCAGTGCAGTGCCAGCCCAGGCTGGGAACCATTCTCTCCTCCGTCTCAGCCTTTCACTGAATCATAGACCATCAGGGTTGGAAGGGACCTCAGGAGTTCTAGTCCAACCCCCTGCCCAAAGCAGGACCAATCCCTGGGAGGGATTAGAGCCCAACACAGGTGCCTGTGAGCCCCGGACCTTCTGCAGCGCTGCCCCTTGTAGACATGTCCTGCCTGTAGGTGCTGGGAAACAGCCTCTCCTCAAGTGCAGCAATGGAGAGGTGCCTTTCCCTGTGGGGGACAGTCCCTGCCCCCTGTGGTATCTAGGGTGTTCTGCCCCTCCTGCCCCCCAGAGACTCATGTCCAACACTTGAGATGACACATGGGTACACTAGGATCTGGGGCTAGCTCACAGTAGTGGTACAAGGCTGTCACATCCTTGGGATCCTGCTGCTCGTGCTGGGGGATTTACCCTCACTGCTGCCCTCATTGCACAGCAGGAGTCAGCGCACAAGCTCCGCAGGGCACTGTGGACACAGCTCTTCATGCCTGGAGCAGCTCCCTCCCTGCGCCCCAGCTATGCCCCTCAGAGGCTCCAGTCAGGTCATCGGGGCTCACCATGCTCAGGCCCATCTTTCCGGCGAAGTCTCTCCCTCTGCGATGAAACCACTGAATCTGTCTCCGTCTCGTTATCCAGGTTCTCCCGACTCCCCCCAGTGTTGGGGCTGCAGAGGGGTGACACATCCAACAGAGAACTCAGTGGTTCCCCAAGGACATGAAGGGCCGCCCCCTCACCTCCCGGCATTCCCTGCTCTGACATAAGCCAGCTACGCTGCACTTCTCAAGTCGTATTTCCTGTTATCCCCTCACTTCTGAAGGGGCATACCAGGGCCACTAGGTGACAGCTTCCACCCCCCTCTTTCTAGTGTGGGATTGGGACATGTGGGGCTTGAGATGCACACATCCTCAGCACGGGACAGGGGTGTGGAGGTGCAATCGGAGTCCCACATGGGGATGGAGCTGGAAGGCAAGGCAGTTCAGGGAGCAGTTTCCCCACTCCCTGCCAAGCCCTCAGTGAAATATGCTGGCACCATTGTTAAAAGAAAAGGAAGATGGAAACCTGTTATGTGTGACGGGCAAGGGGAGATCAAAGCCACAGCAGCAGGTGATGGGGGTCTTCTTGCTGCTTGCACCATGCCCTGCTTGTCAAATGATCAAAGAATTCCAGTCCTAGTGCTCGTTACTCCAGTCCCAGCTCCACCACCCAAGGGACTCTGTCCTAGCACTCCATTCCCAGCCCCACTTCTGCCAGCATGCATCCCTACCATGCTGGTTAGCCCCTACCCTTCCATCACTCTCCCCATCTTGGCTTGTGAGGAACGGGATCATGTGGCCACTCCCAGCTCAGAGTTCACTTGACAGCCTGCCCTCGGGAAGCCCACTGAGATGTGTCTCAACATGACTTACTGGAAGGAGGGAGGCCTGGAGTCCCCAATGCCCCCGGTACGCTCCATGGAGGGCGGCAACTCCGGCTGGTTATCGGCACAGACAGATCCCCCATCTGAGTGCGACCCCTCCGCAGACACCAGCTGGAGAGAGGAGAGAAAGGGAACTAAGTGGCTCAGGAACAGGGTGGGAGCCTCAGCATGAGGGACATTTACAACTACACTGGCCCCAGGAGCAACTGGGGCTTCCATATTTCCAGCCCCTAGGAGCTGGTGGAGGAAGAGAGCTGGGCTGTGCCCAACCCTGGAGCAGACCCCAATGTGCTTTCTAGCCTGACTTTTCCCAAGTACTCTGCAAACCCACCACCTCAGTTAGACCAGAGGATGTGGGCATGGCCTGTAACCTGCCCTGTGAAGTGCCTTGCCCAGAGCAGAAACTAAGCACCAGGGCTTTGCGCTCTGCACAACATTGTGTTAGACTGGCCATGAAGTAACCTAGATTGTACATGTTTTGGGACAGCATCAAACACAGTGAGGCCGCAATCTGGACTGGGGCCTCTGGGTACTATTGTAAACAACCAGCCACCGCCTGAGCCCAGGCTCAGAGAATAGGATACAGTGCCTATCACCAAGGCACCAACGCCAGCATACCCCAGGCAGGGAGAACTGGGTGGCTCGGGAAGATTGGGGAAAGGACAGAATGATCTAGACAAGTTATGGAGCTGTTCGAAGATGGCTCCAGCTGAGGTAGTTTCTAAACTGGATATATCCCTCCACACTGCTGCCAAGCTGTGTTTGAAAGTGGTTTAGCTGGCACCACATTTAAGCATGATTCCCAAACTTGGTCTGTAGGAGAGGTGGGGACCTAGGTCAGTAAATCAAATGCAGCCTAGGAGAGTAGTGATCAGAAGTCACTTTCCTACGAGGGCTGATCAATAGCCTCCGAGACAGAGAAACCAAGGCCATGTAGGCTAGGGAGCAAGCTACAAAGAGGAGCCAGCCGGGAGGGGCAGAAGCAGCCAAAGCAGGGACCATTGGTTCCTTGGAGAACTGTCTACAGTTTTCACTGGACTTTCCCTGCCCAATGCTGACTGGCTGTTTGCTCCAACCTTCCCCCTTTCCTCAGTTTTCACCTCAGCATCACTCCTCCTACCCTCTTGTCTCCGCCCCCATCCCTTCAATGTCCCCGCTCACTTCCCTTTAGCTGATCCCCCCAAACTAAACCAACCAAGACAAGAAAAAACAAATCATAGAACTAACATGCCGTTTGCTGCCATCACACTGTTCACTCTGCTTGTGTGTTCTAACGCTTCCTCTGTCTGCTCTATTTAGACTGTACGATCTTCAGGGCAGGGACTGTCGGTCTGTTCTGTGTTTGTACAGTGCCTAGCACCCTGGGGTCCTGGTCCACAACTAGGGCTCCTAGGCACTACAGCAATACAAACGATAAATAAATACCCTTCCACTGTTTCCCCTTTCATTGCTGGGCTTGGCTGCCCCAAACATGTTTCCTACATGGCACGTCCCCTGCGCTGGAGAGCAAGGGGATTGGCAGTGAGTTCTCTCCAGGCCCAAGGAGAGGATTCTGACACTGTCCTTCAGTCTTGGCCCAGTGCAGCGCTGGCCCTAGAACAGGAGCTGGTGCAAGTAGTCTGGAGACAGGCTGAGCAAGAACGACAAGAGAGCTGGAGGCGAGAGGTACTAGGCCTAGCACAGGCAGGCCCTGATCTTACTTGCTTGGACCACCTGGGCCCCAGTTCTTCTACTTATCATGCTCCACTGCAGGTAGACAGAGCTCTGGAGAGCACAGTGCCGGAAAGATCACCAGAGGTGGAAGAGGAGGGACTTGGCTGGCAACTAACTGTGCTTTGCTTTCTCTGATACCATCATATCCTCTCTTTCCCGATGCAGCTGGGGAAAATCCACCTGCAGCTCTGCTTTCTGTCAGCAGAGGGCACTGCAGTTATTCAGAGACATGAACAAAGTCCTGGCTCCAATGAGCCCCCAGGCAAGCAAAAACCTTGTTGCAAAGGAAGGTGGGGGTGAGAGGCTGGGAGGCTCAGGAAAGCAGGATTGGTTATGCTGTGTGGTGGGCTCTTGCCAGTACAAGAGAAGCGTCAGAGGACAAGTTCTGAAAAGGGCACCCATGGCCCTCTCCATTTAGATGCTGTGGGAATGGGGCCAGAGAAATAACTAGACAGACACACAGGGGGCTGGATCCAGGCAGTAATCGAACAGCACCAGGCTGGAACTCCCCCTCCCCTGTTGGGCGAGGGTCTGTCACTGCTTCCTAACACTCCTGCAGTTTCCCTGCCTCTTTAGCTGCCGTGAAGGCTTCAGACTCAATCCCCCCTGCTAAAATTAGCCCTAGATTCCTGAAATAGCCTCACTCCAGCCTGTCTGGCAGCAGCAGACCAGACCACACAGCTCCCAAAGCCACCAACTGATGGGGAATCTTGGGGGGGAAGGGGGCGTCGGAATGTCAGCTGCGCCCAGAGGAAGCCGAGTGCTACTGCCCACAACACACAAGGGCTGAAAGCCACTGCTAACTCCAGGTGTCTGACCGCCCCACAAGGAGTCCAATTAACTCAGGCCCCATCTACAGCAGTATCAGTTGCTAACCTGCCTGGAGCACTGAGAACACAGACTGGTTCCGTATAGGTAGATCGGACCAAACTGTGTTATACCCATGATATGATTTTGCTCAGCCACAGGCCCTGAATCCGTGAGGGTGCAGGAGGAGAAGCCAGCTCCTGTGCACACATATGAGCCACATTTAGAAGTATGGCAAAGACACTGAGTTGGGGAGCAAAGGGCTCGCAGCCTGCGGGCTCCACTGACCGAGCGCATAAGAACAAAGGCAACTGGGAAGGGGAAGAGCAGAGCAGACAGATGCAGCTGCAATAAATACTGGAGAGGGATGAGAATTGGACAAGCTCTGCACAGTGCAGGTGCCCAGCAAGCCACTAGAGGGAGAACTGCAAACTGTTTGGCAACAACTTAAAAAAAGGCCAACTGTTTGTGTGTCTGAACCGGCAGAGAGGCCCCCATTCCCTGCACACACAAACAAAGGATTCAACCCCAGTGACATGGGTGCCTTTTTCAGACATACTCATAGCAGGTATAATGCATGTAGCATGCCCTGGACACCCAACTGGCTGGTCTCATATTACCCTAACCTTACTGCTCCCCATCCTTCTTCCCCAACTGTCCTACTACCACCACTGCCGTTTCATTGCCCCTTGTCTAACAGTACAGGGACTGTGTGTAATTTATCTGCACTGAGAGGCATCAGCTCTCATCTGGCCCAGGTCGCTAGTGCCTGATGAAAGCAACAGAGGGTCCTGTGGCACCTTTAAGACTAACAGAAGTATTGGGAGCACAAGCTTTCGTAGGTAAGAACCTCACTTCTTCAGATGCTAGTGCCTGATGGTGGCTTCCATTTGGGGACCGCCCAGTGGCCCCTGGGAAATGAGCTGTTGGATTTCAGTTTAATTCCTAGTAGGCAGATACTCACATCCCAACTAGCCCTCTGCTGAGGCTACAGATGATGCAAGGGCTCAGTGGGCCATAGAGACCGAACTCCCCTCGTGTCCCAAGATGGGGTCCCCTCCAGGGCAAGGGGGAGAGCATGTGCCTGGTGTGGGATGGAGGGAGAAGCTTGCCTGTGGCTGCCCAGACAGTACCTTCAGTCTTCACGACAGTCAAATCCAGTCCTCTTCTCCAGCACTTAAAACCCTTTGCTACAGTCATCTGTGGTGGAACTTGGAAAGCTGCCCCTGGTGTCGGGGCACACTGGTTACCCTAGGCAGGCCAAGAGCAGCGCTCCAAGCAGCAGCTACACTAGGAAGCAGTTACAAAAAGACTTGATACACATTCTTAACTATTGTATCCCCAGGACTGTCTCCTAGTGGGTGTGAGGAACGCAGTGTTCAGGACTAAGATAGGAAGTGGTACCCTCAGCCCAGACACTCAGGAACTCAGCATGGCCTCAGTTCCTACTACAGTTAGTGCCTCTTCATTACAAAGCACAGCTGCCCCATTGCTTTACCTGGCACTGTACAATGGGAATGGTGATTTTCAGAACTGCTTGTGTAGTCTGACGTAGAGACAGACAAACAGACAGACATCCAGCCAAGAGGCCTGCTTACCCAGGACACCACCCGGCCATTGAAACAGGGAAGCTTGGCATTATCATCCGAGATTTCTTCCTTCACGACCCTGTGGAAAAAAGAGATGGAACAGGTTAGCAACAAGGCTCAAAGCCTATGGTTAAGGTCACAGAAGGCAGCCTCTGGGTTGAGCCATCAGATCAGACATCAGTTTGGTCATGGGGCAGGAGGAGATGAGAGGGGACAAGGAACTCGTGCTGTTCACAGAAGCACCCACGCTGGGCTGCAGTGTCATTTCTGATCCCCCATGGCATTGGCAGCAGAAGGCTCCACTGAAAGTTCAGAAAAATGGCCAGTCGCAGGTTTGATGGGGTGGGGAAAGCTCTGGAGGCAGTACAGACTCCCGCTGCTCAGCAGTCTCAACGGAGCCCAGAGAACAGGGGGAGCAGGGGGATGCCTGGAGAGAAACCAATGGCGGGAAGTAACCAGGGCGCATAAAAATCAATAAGTTAAATCATTTGAAAATTGGATTTTTTCAATTTAAATTAAATGCACTTAAAAAAAACCTTTTAAAAATACATTTGACGTTATGACCAGCTATGTGAAGGCCTAACATCACTATGATCAATGATAATCATTTAAAATAAATAAAAAATAATATGCTGCAAGGAGCCCTCCTCAAATTTTGAAGAGTTAAAGGGTGCTGGTTTTTTGAATTACAGACAGACTCAGGGGAAAACATCTTTATCTTCTGAGGTCCACTCAAGCTTTTTAAAGATGTCACAATGCCATGTACATGCCGTGCATTAAGTATCCGTATGATTTACAGTATTTGCAATGGAGCTAATGCTGCTATCTTCATTTTTCCAAATGTAAGTACTTCCGGTTTCTGTTGTACAGAAAAGCCATGATTGTTGATTTCAGGTTAGCTAGCAAGTGCAGAGAATATTTGCTTCATTTGGCTTGGTTCATCCAAGTTGACAAACTGATTAAGAGTTGAAAAAGCAGGAAAGCTTGTTTTCCTCTTCCACTCTATGACTAAAATCCTGAGGGACACAAGGGCAGAGTTTCAAAGGTAATTAGGGACCTAACTAGGCAGAGAGGTACCTAGGTGGATTTTTAAAAGCACCTAAGCAGGGTAGGTGCCTAATTCCCATTGATTCAACTTTCATTGATTTCAAAATCCCACTGAAGAGAAAGGGAGCAGGAAATGGTGTTACAATGAAAGCCTTACTTAATACTTTACATTTCAAATGCTGTAATTGGTTTCCCTCCTTTTCCGTTTCTTTAATAAAAGGTTAAAAAGTTGTACTGGTGTGTTCGCCATGGTCTCTGAGGTCTCTGTATACCAAACCCCAGACCTTGGTTAACACTGTTTAATGTTGGACAGTGACTGGGTTATGACAACACCTTTAGCCCATATATTAATTTAGATGAAATAAAACAGCACCTATCTGAAAACACCTTTGAAAGTTTGGCTTACAGGGACCAGAAACTATCTGCCACTTGGTTCACTACAGTTAATATTGCCTTCATTTAACAAATCAGTTTTAAATGCAAAACATGTTTTGATAACCTTACATTTGTTTCTTTATATATCCAGCACATTTAAGGTGATTTTATTCAGCTAATAAAAACAATTTTAAAATGCTGGTTTTGAGCATTTTTAATTGCATTCCAATTTCCATCCAAATGTAGCTTGACCCAAATCACACACAAAAAGTTAATCTAGTAAATAAGAAATGTATCATTTACGATTTTCTATCATCATAAAAAATGTAAAAATTTAGATTCTGAATATTAAGTTATAGAATTGCTTAAATAAATGCATATCTGCATAGATATTATACATAGAGTATATATAATTTAGTAAAAAGGCTATATTTCATTGCAAATCACTGTGTTTTAATAGCTACCAACCAATGAGAATGAACCTTTCTTTAGTAAAAGAACTAAAAAGTACAAATGCAAAATAGGATTCAACTTGAGTCAGGGTTTCCAGCTTGCTTATTTAAATCATGATTCAGATTAGTGATTTAAACCACTCCATTCTGGAAGTAACTATTCCAGCAAAGCAGGAAGGCACAAAACAAGGACCATGTCAGCCCCAGGTGTCTAAGGGCTGCCCCTAACTTACAGAAAATAAAACTGGATGCAGCTGTCTTCCCTGGACTGTGACCCATCATCCCAGCATGCAATGCAACCTGGCCACTTAGATCAAGGCAGAGCATGCTGAGACATGGGAGCATAGGTGCTCAGATAACTGCCGAAATTAGGGCAGCAAACTGCATTTACACTCTTAAAGCATCAATCAAAGGTAAATGGACAATGCTACGTGCCAATATCTGGGGAACAGGCTCTGCCCCACCCTGCCAGCAAGATGAGCTGCTCCATTCAGTGCCACAGGCTCCCATTAAAGGAGTCACCGAATGAAACCAAACAGATTTCAAGATCACCACCGGTTGTCAACACACAATTGTCATGAGCTCTTCCCAAGGCAAAGAAACAGTGT